CCGCCCCCCAGCCTTGCCTGCAGGAGCTGCTCCCCAGGCTACCTGGTGGCCATGTGCATATACATGCACATGGTGCCCCCTGTCAGACTGCCCTCCTCCCGCTCCCCCAGCCCACTGCAGGCTGCAACTCTATCAGCCTGTAGAGAGCTCTTTGCAAAACTGCAATAGCCACGGGTTTCTGTGTTAAAATGAAACATCTGCATTTTCCTCAGGTAAAGGTGGAAATCCACATTTTTCTCCATTCTTCCATGGGAAACAGAAAACCCAGATCCCTGGTCATCACCCTCCTCACTTTCAGACCCCTCCCTTTTTCGTTTCCATCTGGTGTTCCCATTTTAATTTAGCTTATTAACTCTTTCGAGAACTAGTCTCTCTCTGTCTCCAGTAAAAACTGCAATGTGGGAGTCATTTATATAAGCAATTGATGGTAACATTACATAAACACACATGCACCTGTTCTGTAGATGAGCTTCCAGCTGACACCTCTGCATGGTCTCCTGGCATAGCGTGTGGAAAGGACAGAGGACAATCAGCTTATCCAACAGGTTCCTTACTAGAAGGCTGGACTTTCGACAATGCTGGAAGCACAGTTTTTTGCGATCCATGGGGCAAAAATTATGCTCCTGCATGAAGTTCTCAAGGCACCTGAAACAGTACGTGTGTCCACACGGGGTATCCATAGGGTGAACCAAAGGCTGAAGGCAGATATGGCAAATCAATTCATCATCCACTTCATCCTGGAAATTATAAAGATGATTTTCTGATAACAGGTGAAACTGGCCACATTCAGGACAAAGTTCACTCATTTTGGAGACCTGTTCTTCTGCTGTAGGGTCAGCCATGATGTCCAGCATAAAGCAGCAGTGAGGCAGGAGAAACAAGTCTGCCAATTTAAAGAGCAGGACCGGTGATCTTACAGGATTCCTTTAATGAGAAAGGGAGAGAGAGACTTAATCAGTCAGCTATCTAAGATGCAAGCTTAAAAGGCCAATGTCTATCTAGTTAATTAAAAATAAATGTAATATCAAGTTGTACATCTGTCCCAAGTTTCCCTGCCAATTTCTGTGACACCCCCTTCCTCCGTAACTATGGGAAAGACCTACTCAGATAATAAGAGAACAGAAGGCTCTGACACAGCAAAGCGCTCGAGCGCGTATTTAAGAACTTTGCTGAATTGAAACACGAACGACTACGCAAGGAAAATGCGAACACCGACTAGATACCATTCTGTCAGATGCATCAACTCAACAGACTTTACATATACTGTATATTAGTTATAATGAGTGTTGCTGGCCATAACGCAGGACTATGAAAGGTAAAGAGCTGAGACAGTAACTTAAGAGTGACCATTTTCTTGTCTGGCATTCTGGATGCCACTGAACATACTTGTTTTAAACGGCAGGTCTGGGAGGTACTGGGGTGAGGAAAAGAAGAGTAAAAGGAAAAATATTTCCTTCCTGCTAGTTCTGCTGCCTTCTGGCAAGATGCAGGGCTCACGGTGGCGGCAGCGTTCCCCCACGCTGCCCCCACGGTGCGCCCCACAGCTGACATCACTGCCGGGCTCGCAATGGGGACAACGCTGGCCCGCTGAGAGAGTCCTGCAGCTCACAAGGCTCGCAGCAGTGGCAGTTGTCCCTGCTGCCCTGGCTGCCAGCCCTGCAGCGGGGGCAGCATTCCCAGGGCTGCCCCTGTGGTGAGCCTCGCAGACCACGGGCTCGTGGTGGGGGCAGTGTGGGCAACCGCTGCAGGCAACACTGTCCGTGCTACTAGCCCCGTCAGCTGTGGGAATTGAAGCCGCAGGGGCCTGGGATCATGATCTGTCCCAGGCTGGATCCCAGGCTCCCCCTGCACCAGTGACAAAGTGCAATGGGATCCACAATCACACTGCCTGCCGTGTACGTGTGGCATGGCAGGAGGCACAACTGTGTGGATTGTGCGTTAGAGTCCATTGTGCTTTTACCTGCATGCGTAGTGGGGCCCTAGGAGGCCATTTGCCCCCTCCCTCCCCTGCTAGCAACCATTAAAACCATATAGCTCATTTCATAATGTCTCCAAAGTGTTTAGTGGCATTCTTTATTCTCCTTTATTTTGAGACCGATTCAGCTAATGGGTCAAACTTTAGAAGTCACTGGAGCTGCAGCTCCTCAAAACTAATGGAAATGCACCATGTTTTAATGCTCATGTTTTAATGCTGCCCATTACAGCTACATTTGAGATTGTTCTGAGCCTGCCAACAGATTTATTGCTTGGCAAGCAAGGATCAAGTTCTCTCTCTCTCTAAAGAACCATCTGGCAATTTGCACAATACAACCAGCCATATGGTGCTGCATGAGGCTGGAATCCTATCTAATGCAATTCCTTAAAATATTTATTTAAAAATGAATAATAAGGCATGAGATTTCCAATATTAACGACAAATGCGAGGGGGAGGGGAATGAAAGAATGCAATTGGTTCTGTATTGGGAAAAGATGTCAGGAAGCGATTCCTATCCCAGGAGGCAGGGAAAAAAATCTAAGAGAGGATGGGTGCTGGCCCACACCATTGCCTGGATGATGCAGCGAACAAGGGTCATGCTCAGAAATGATCCACAACTGGCATCCAAAATCGGTCAGGGTTTCTTGCACACCACTCCAATTAATTGTCAAGCCTGCAAGTCAGCTATGTGGTTAAAGGGCTAATGTATCACAAAAAAAAAAAAAAAAAAAAAAAATCAGTCTTTTTGTTCCTATTTTTACTTTGGAATGCCAACTGATTCACTTCAAAAAGGCCAGCAGCATTCCCGTCAGGGTGCCAGGTTCCTGGTAGTTGCAAGGTAGGAGTGTTTTCCTCCTCCTGCTGTATGGCAATCAGGCAGTCTCTCCCCGTTGAGTAATGCTTACATGCAGTTCAAGTGTTTTGTTAAGGTCTTTTCTTTACTTTGGGAAGGGTTAAGTCACCTGAGGAGGACAACATAATTCTAGACAAAATAAGAAGCATACTTCAGATAACAGCAGAAAGTTAACAAGATACAAGTAGATGCAGGGCAATTCAAGTCTCTGGCATTCCCACGCCCCAGCATTTTAGAAATGTTCCTTCACTTACAGCAGGCAGGCACATATCTGAAGCAGAGGCTTTTTTGCCATAGCTTATATATCAAAGCACAATTATCTTAAGCTAAAAAGACAGTGTTTCAGCCCAACCACAAAGGCTAACAAAACTAAATAAATAAATTTCTCAAAGCTAAATAACTGTCAAATTAAACACCATTGGGGTTTGTAAGATACGTTGTAATAGTTGCATAAAATATGTTGGTAGGTGATTAAACATTTAATTTCTCCCTGCTAGTTTTCCTGATACACTACTTGATACCAGGCCTTTCCATTATTTATCCTACCATCTTCATTCTTTGCTCTTTGTGCTGTAAGCTTAGGAGAGGAATCTCATGTCACTTCAAGACTATCACAAGATAAAAATATCACATTATTTCTATTCAGTTCAGATACTGAAGTGTAGTCATTTATAATCCCTGTGTTAATCTCAAACCCATGTTTTTTTTAAGGTTTCAGATTTAAAAATAGACAAGTCTGGCGTCAAGTTGCCCAAGAACACCAAGTGTTGAAATAAGATCTCTTATGTCATTGTCTCCTCAATGAAGAGGAAGTTGCTGCAAACTTCTGAGAACTTCAGCTTGACACGTTAGTGATGAAGCCTGGTCCACACCCATCAGCAAGACAGTAGTTTGTGAACAACACTACTGAAGGCAGCAGGCTGGAACAAGCTTGCCATTTGTTCAGTGATTCAGTCAAAAAGATGTTCATTATAAGGAAAATGGCTAACAGGTTATTCAGCAGATAGGACTGAGTTTTTTGCTCCACTAAAAGTGTCTGGACAGTGGGCGATTTCAGCACGGTGAGCCTGAGTCTGCTCTTGAACTAATTTAAGTACGTTGGCTGAAATGGAGTTAATCAATGGTATAAATCAGTCAGGCTCGGTCATCTTAGATTCCGGTTCTCAAGATATAATAGTCCGTAAGTATGTCTAGTCATTATGGCCTCTATCCAGTTTAAACAGTTTGCTCTATGAGCCTAGCCACCTCCATCTCACACCACTTCGTCTCATTTCTGATACCATTCCTCCTCTTCCTTCACCCCAACAATTCCACCTTCAGCCCCCCTTCACTTCCTTCCCAGGCTTTGACTCTTTTGTTTCCCTCAGTTTATACCTAAAGCTAGTATGTCAACCTCAGCATTACTCACATCTCTTCCTAGGACTTACTCTTCCCTCGGATGATAACTACAGCTGTCAAGTGTCTTCACCTCAACATAAGGAAAGTGTCTTATCTTTCTATATAACACATATTGAGGAAACCACACAGATGCAGCTGGGTCCCAAATATATCCACAGCTAAATTAAGGTCTAACATAGGTACTGCTGTTCTGACTGGTTTCTGACTGCTGCTAATGGTGTTCACTATGTCCTCTACTACAATTAATGTGATATTGCCCTATACCCTACTAAGCAAAATACTTCTTCTAGCTTTCCCATATTCATCACATCTTGTGTTTTACTAGCGCATGAGGTCTCCAGAAAGGATCTTTATCTTTAAGGGATCAAATACACTTTAAAGAACTGATATTTCTATTTTCTGTATTGTAACAAGGAGGAAAAAGAAGAGTACAGGTTTTCTTTGATTATCAGGCTGTCTGTCCCCCAGCAAAGCAAGACTATTGTTAGCAGTGCATCTGCCAAGTGACAGTTCTTCCAGCATTCTGTGTACAAGACGTACACCCACTCTCTGGGCATATCTATAGTATTATAATGCTATTAGTCATTATGTAGTATGCCAAATATCACATAGACAATGAAACTCCAGTACTGTCTATGAGCAATTCAATTCAAACTCCAATAAACCTTTAAATTTAACACGTGCTGACTAAATACCTCTTATGATCTGGGTGTCTACAATACTTTAAAAAGGCAGGCTAGTGTGCAACCCCTTTCCAGTGTGTTAAAGCAGACAGAACTATTCTTATCTAAAAAGAAACCACAGTAATCATGGTAAAAACATCCACAGTGGTTGTTCATGAAGTATCCAGATATTAAAGCATCGTTGTCTGCAACCTGTTACCCAGATTACAGCTAACCTTGTGGGTAGGTTACAGATAAAAAGCAGAAACAGCTCCACAGCCTAACATTTTATTTGCTGCCACTCTAAAACACAAAACCAAACGTTTATCCCAAAGTCTGTCTGGCTACTTATGACAACACAATGTAGATTCTCACCCATCTCTCAAGTCTCCCCAGCTGGTATAGGAGGAAGGTGGCATACAGATTGGCTGCAGGTCTCAAATTTCCTGAGTTTTCCAAATTTTCCTCCAACCTATGCCTAAAAATGTATAGATGGCTAGTTCTAATAAACGATCTTTGATTGGTTTTATTTAAATGTCTTTGTTTCAATGAAACACTGACTTTTCCAGTATCAGTACAACCCATGCTCCTCATATATAGCTCAACCATAGGTTAATTTACAGGACCAGAAGGGCAAAATACACATCTATCAACGGTGTTTATAAGGCCTCATTTATCATGGTATGAGCACCTGTCAATCACCAAATGATACTGCAGTCCTAATCACAACATCTCTGTGAGATGGTTACTTCTTACAGGTTACAAGGTTACCTGTAATCTGGGTAACTGGTTGCAAATAATGATGCTTTAAGTCAGCAGTTCCCAAGCTGTGGGTCACAACCTCAAATGGGGTCACAACATCAGCAGATGGGATTGTGGGGGTGGGAGGCTGTGGGGCCACAAATGGGGAAAAGTTTGGGAAGCACTACTTTAAGCACTGCTCTATGTTATAGATGCAGAAGTCAGGCAAAGAAAGGCTATGTGGCTTGCCCAAGGTCAAACAGGAAGTCTGTAGCAGAGAAAGGAGTGGGACCCA